AGAAATGCACCACGTGCTTAGCCTATGATCCATACAGACTAATATCGCAATGGCCCATTAAGTGCGGAGCTGGCTCACTATAACAGAATAAATCAAATCACACATCCAAATTCTTCAACATCATATTAGAGCTAAAATCTTCTTTTTCCTTTACTTTTTTTTTTATAATCTAGATTTCTACATAGAACTACTATTCTTTCTTAGCCAGAATTAATTTCTCATTAGGTTCTTAGTGGTAGAATCATAAGTCAGTGAAACTTTCATACTTTGGTTACATAAATAAACTTAACATTGGATTTTTGTGTCATAAAGTTCTATTTTTCTACTTAACTTCTATATTCTCATTAGCCAACATGTCATCAATATTCATTTTCCTAAACACATGTAAGCATTTCATTATGCTAATAAACCAAAACTTCATTGAATATATGCAAAACTTCCTCAGAGATCAAGCTATAGGAAAGTATATTTAGCAATAAATTGGTGTATTCATCAACACAAATTTCATTTCTTTCTCATCCAAGTCACCAAAATACCTTATATATCATGAGAAACACAATTTACGCTTAAGGCATTGGCATTGCATAATAGTCCATACTTTACTCACAAAAACCATTATGACTTGAAGTCGCTAGGAAAATTGACAGTTTCCACATCTACTAGACAATATTCATGCCAACTTTAGCCACATGCTAATTCATTACAAAAATCAAGAATTCCTTCATTTACAATTATAGAACTCTTAGCAATAACACTATGAATCCTTATACATAGTCATACATACGGAAAATTCTCATAAGAGTTCTTCATTCATGCAATTAAGTTCTAGTTCACTTCTTACATCATTCATTAGACGTTCAACCATCACTCATATTATCGCTCAAAAATTCACTTACAAGCATTTTAGCAGCGGAATTCCCCCAACTTTTACCATACTTTTGTCATAGGGAGTTTATAGAACCTAGCATTTCATGCAATTTAGTCTTCAAGTAACATCAATAACGTATAGCATTATTAGAAATCCATATCATGCTTGAGAAAGTAAGGAAACACAAACCTTTAAACTATGCACATGGTTTGGCCAATTGTAGCGTCCTAGGGAAAAGGGAGCTTCTACATCAACTCAATCATTTAAATATTTTTTAACAACTTCGCCAAGATATAACATATCTACATACTTAACATGCAGCAATTTAATCATAGACTCAATTTTTCCATTTTAGCCATTAATTCTACGTTATAGGAAAAAATACCCAACTAAGATTGCATGCAAAATAATTTCATCATCACTTAAATCCCATCATAAAATATTATTTAACGGTAACTTAATATCTGAAACAGCAGAAAAAAAACTCCTCCCTCTGGCCCAGTTGTATCGACCAATCTTAGCAGAAAGAGGAAGTGACGTTGGAACCCTATGGAAATTAATTCCAGACACTCTTATGACAGATTGGGCAATAGTTCAAGATTCAAAACTAACGTCCCCTCTTTGGGCACCTTAAAGTTAAGAAGCAAGTTAGACAAGGTTGAGGTACCCATGCTCTTGAGCTCCATGGTTGATAGCTGTGAGATGAATCCGTATCCGGAAGAGTCTTCTCCCCCATTAGCATGAAGTCTGCTAAGAAAATACCCAATTCCACATCTATTGTCGTAGAAATTATAAAAATTTCAAATAATTTTTAAACGGAAGTTATTTATGAGAACAAACCTCAAATTAAGCTCTCAACAAAATTAGTATTCTCTCTATGCCTTAGCTGTTCCTTTATACTTAGTAGAGGGTTCCCAATCTCTCATTAAGCGAAAAACCAAAATCACAACCAAGAAAGTGTGAAGAAGAAATGGAGCATGAATGGCATGAAAATGTAATGGAGAAATCAAAATCAAAAATAAAAGAAAATCTATAATACACTTACTTAAAGATGTTAGAGAAATCTCAAAATTTTCTTCTTGAAACTCACACCCAAAAATCATAACCAAAGCTTTTAAATTCTCATTTGAAAATTCATTGGCTTACGCTTAGTGGAGTAGATTTGGTTGTGTTTATTAGTAGAATTGAAGAAAAATAAAGAGAGGGAGCGGGAGAGGGTTCGGGACAAGAGAGGAGAGGAAAAGGAAAGAAATGTTATTGCTTAGGGAATTAAGGCTTTTAAATCTCATTAGCGGTTAGTTTTGGTCCATTTTTAACAACTTCCTTAGTAAGTTGTGGATGAATGGCTTTTGATTTGGTCTTTGGTATGACAAATTCAATGGCCTAAAAATTAAGTTCCTCAATAATCATCCCGAAATATTATTTATCTCTTATAAAATTATTTAATTTACTCATAAAATTTAATTTCTCTAATTTCCTATCATAAATACCATAACGTTGCACTATTCACTAATTTCCTTTCTCCAAATAAAATTCAGATAACTTATATTTTTTTGCCCACCAAATTATGCATACATGCTCTAAAATATTAAATAAATAATTAAAATATAAGCCAGTATTTTTCTCACGATCGACTAACACCGACTTTGGGGATTAGGACGGTACTAATTCACAGGATAACTAAACTACTATTTCAGACAGATGTCAAAACAAGAGTAAAGCGCGTGAACGACTCTTTAAACTCACTCACACATTGTCCACAAGCGCTTCCAAGAGTTCATCTGACACAGCTTTATCGTTTAACGAGCCATGACAAACAAAAGGAACCTAGGGTTTGTCACTCCGTAAGAAAACCCGACACACCCCAAAAAAAAAAAAAAATTGGGACCTAATTCTGCGAGTTTAGACTCCCTCTGGTTGGGGTCCTTTTCCCATGAGCGGCCTCGGGAGGGACATTCACAGATTGTGCATTGTTGTTTGGGAGAAATTATAAGAATGACACGAGGAAACTAAAATTTGCACTCAATTAATTAACTTTTTCATGCATTTTTAATTAAAGTGGGAGAAAGAAATTGGATTAAACAATTGCCTTGTACAAACAGAGCCTTCATTAATGTGTTTACTGTACGGTTATTTCGTCAATTCTGATACTTTTTCACTATTGAGAAGCATATATAAGGGTAATATGGACTTTGTTACACTTTAATATTTTTTTTATTAAAAATAGACAATTTTGTTAAATAAATGTCACCCTAAATCTGAAAGTTTTTCAAAATAAATAAAAATGGGACGAGAGTACGTATGTTGACTGGCTTTTTGCTTGCGGTTAATGTTATCTTTCCCACCACTAGGGATGGAACCCGGTTGAGACACCCACTTAAAATGAACTACCAGACCATTTAAATTAACTCACCTGAACTCGTTAGAATTTTGTGTGTGTGTGTGTTCGAACCCATCCTAAACCCAATTCATAATTACCCGTTTAATAACATGCGAAACCCCCTTTACTCTCCTTTGCATTCAAATACCTTTTAATTTTCACAAGTATTAAATATAAAATTATTATTTTGACTTAATAAAAATATAATATATAGATATTGATATAATTGTAGTATTAAACTATAATTAATGGTATATATATTTATAAATTTTCCTTTTTAAAACATAGTTATTTGAAATATTTCTTGAATATATTATTAATGGGTAACAGTTAGCGGTGTATTCCGAGTTCTTTAATCCGAATCGATATAGTAAATAAAAATATTCATCCGAACCCCTTTTAACCCGTTTTATTCACTATCCAAATCGGCTAAAATCGGATCGAACCAAATTGGATCTGGTACCCGCGCAGGATCGAATCAAAATTGCCATCCTTGCTACCCACCAACTCCGTTCCTTATTTTGACCCACGAAGGAGGACCATTTTTCAGTTGTTCTCCTTCTAGATGTTTTCATTTTTCAACGCAACAATTCAATTAACGGTTGATATTTAACAAAGCAATTTACCAATTGCATTTTAAAATTTTATAATTAGTATTAGTTCTATAGAGATTCAAAACATAGATTTATTGTATAGATCATATATGGCCTTACTACTAAATTATGTCTTTAGTGTGCTTAATCATGTCTTTAATAATAAATATTATTTAATTAATTTTATTTATCAAACAGAGATGTTTTTATTACTATATATATACTATTATATATAACAGAATTGGCTAAATTAAATTGTATTCTCCCATTCTATTATTTAATGTCTAATTCAAAAGTGTTTTTTTTTTCTTTTCTTACTTTGCAGGTTAAAAAAAACATTATTATTTAGAAAATTAAAACTGACAGTTTATTTAAATTATAATTTTTTTTCTAGGAATCGGATTCAATTTTGACTTCAACAAATCTCTTGATTATATTAGCTTCTCAGAAAATTAAATTTTACTTTCACAGTCTACACAATCCAAATTGTTTTCATTTCAACAACTACATTATAATTGTTTATCATCTTCAACAACTTACATTAATTGATATAAGAGAGTTAAGTCAAAATTGGAAGTAGGTCCAGCGGCGGCCATCATTAATACGTCCCACCAAACTGGCGACTGAGCAATGTATAATACTATATATATCTATAATATTATAAAAGGAATTGCGCTAAATTCATTGTATTCTTCCCATTCTATGTTTTTAATGGTCTTATCTAAGTTTTTTTTTTCTTTTCTTATTTTGGAAGCGTTAAAAAATTAATTATTTGAAAAATTAAATAAAGCCGACAGTTTATTTAATTAATATATATATATATATATATATAAAAGAATGCGCTAAATTAAATTGTAATTCTCCCATTCTATTTTTAATGTCATAATTCTAAGTTTTTTTTTCTTTTCTTATTTTGGAAGGTTAAAAAAACATTAATTATTTGAAAAATTAATAAACCGACAGTTTATTTAATTATAATTTTTTTCTAGGAATCGGATCAAATGAAATCAAACAATTCTTGATTATATAGCTTCTCCAAAATTAAATTTATACTTTCACATTTACCACAATCCAAATTGTTTATAGTCTCAACAACTACATTATTGATATTAAGAGAGTAAGTCAACTAAAAATTGGAAGTAGGTCCAGCGGCCATCTTAATCGTCCCACCAAACTGGACTGAGATGAGTACACGTGGATACAAATGCAGATACGAATTAACACACAGCGTCGATGTATCAAATTTCTAACCCTACGCCACCCTCCACTTGATGGGCTGTATTGCATAAATCCAATCAAATAGATAAACAAGACAATCACTTCCGCTTGCAACTCGAGATAAGAAAATGGTGGTGAAGGTATATGGTACAGCCTATGCTTCTCCTAAGCGGGTGCTAGTCTGCCTGATTGAGAAGGGAATCGAGTTCGAAACTGTACCCATTGATCTCATCAAAGGAGAGCATAAAAGTCCTGAATATCTCCAATTGCAGGTAATTTTATTAATTTCTTCTGAAATATATTCTTTCTAAATTTGCTTTTGTTAATTTCTTGTCTTTCAATTGAAGCCTTTCGGAGCAGTACCTGTTATTCAAGATGGAGATTACACTCTATACGGTAAATCCTCGCATCATATATCTGCTCAGTTAGAGTCAATAGGTTTGATAGGGAATTGGATCAATAGATGATTTCTACTAATAACTTGTATTTGATGTGTAGAATCGAGAGCAATCATAAGGTATTATGCAGAGAAGTACAAGTCGCAGGGAACTGAATTACTGGGCAAGACCATTGAAGAAAGGGGATTGGTGGAACAATGGCTAGAGGTGGAAGCACAGAACTATCATCCTCCAATTTACAACTTGACCCTTCACATTTTGTTTGCCTCAGCCTTGGGGTTTCCTCCAGATGAAAAGATTATAAAAGAGAGTGAAGAAAAGCTTGCAAAAGTTTTGGATATCTATGAGGACAGACTTTCAAAGAGTAAATACTTAGCTGGGGAATTTTTCAGCCTTGCAGACCTGAGCCACCTACCTTTTACCCAATACTTGGTTGGTCCCATGAACAAGGAGTATATGATAAAGAGCAGAAAGCATGTGAGTGCTTGGTGGGATAATATTAGCAACAGGCCTTCTTGGAAGAAGGTCCTCCAACTCTAGAATCCATATATAATAAATCTGTCATCTTTTGAATAATTTTTACTAGTTAATGTTTGGTTTTATGTTTCGTTCTTCATATCTACAATCTGGCTTTGGGCAAATGCTGGATGAACTTTTATTGCCTTTTTTTCTAAAAAATCAAGGTTATGTTCTTGTTCTAGCTGCAGTAGAAATGGAAGTATTTGCAATTGAAAAATTTAGTCTCAAACTGTCAACTTTATGAATTAAACTTGTTGATGTCACAGCGTTTTGCATTTTTCTTATATTTCTTTTTCCTTTTTTTATTATTATGAAGCTTTTTTCTTTGCAGATGTGGTTGCATGATTTGAATAAACTTACCAGGCAACTTTAAAGGCATATTTTGGAATAATTATGTTATCGGTTTTTGAACTTTATGTTAAAATCTAAATGGAAAAAACATGATCAGATATCATGCGATTTTAGTAAGATTATAATCAAGCGACATCTAATGTCAAAATGAGTTGCCAAACTCGTATTTCCACAAGAAAATTATCATTTCATTTCTGACATTCAACAAAATTAATTAAGTTGTTTTTGCAGTTTGGATAAATAATTAGCTTTTGAACTTCGTTTCCATTTAGCTTTTAAACTTTGTCTTCATTTGACTATTCTGTCATTCTAGCCAAAAAAATGTCATTTTTGTTGGTAGTCTTTATTAAAAAGACTAAAATAGTCTCTCTCCAAAACATCCTACCGTGGAGAGCAGCCAATAGCAGACTTTACGGTACCATGGGGAGACTCCACGGTACCGTGAGGAGACTGCATGTACCGTCCACACCCTTATAAATTGGACTCTCCATCCTCATTTTCACATCTTTTTACTTGATTGAGCAGTTCTCAAGCATCGATGATCCTATTTCTCCTGCAAGCATGTTTTTAATGCTACAAAGTCCATTTTAGTTCAATTCCTTTAATTCAATAAGAACCGATTTCGTTATCAAAAATAATCCTTTTGGCTTTCACTCACACTTTGGTCCTCTTTGGTCCAAAGCTATAATTAATAAAATAATTAATTAATTATAAGACTAACTCTTGTTCTCATATTCATCCGTTGCTAAAATTGGAGAAAGACCTGGTCTCCTTGACCCAGAAACCAAGTCGTGGTGCTCTAATCATACCATACTCTGCACACAAGACCGGCCTGGTCTGGGTATAATTCTCAAACTCAAACTCAAGCTTTTCAATTAAAGCCCGATCCATTCGACACTCAAGCCCGGTCTGTCCGGCACCTAATGTATGCTAGCATGGTCCATTAGGCATGCAAGCTCGGTCCGTTCGGCACCTTTTAAGCCTATTCTACGAATGGCACCACATCAAAATCCTACCATCCTAATCGATGGTAGAACTTCATGCGCTTTTATCCTCGTTCAAACGAGATATGAAAGTATATCTAAGATTTCAGCCTAGATAGTGGACGCCGACCGAACAGGCTGGTCAAGATTTAGGAAAATTTATCGCGCGAACTAGAATCCTCAATAAACGAGGCTAGAGTCAAGTTCCCCTCCGAATCACACCTTTTATGTTTATTTATATTTTAAATGCTTTGTCCATATATGAAGAAGAAGAGAAAGGAGATAGTGCAATAGCATAAAGAGAAAGAAAAGCTCTTTTATGCCATATAGGATATTTCTATAAATATGGACAACTTCCTCAAGAAGTTGTTTAATGTGTGGCTAGGATTAAGTCATGGAATTGTGATCCAATGGCTATAATTAATTTCCACAATGACTTTCAATGATTATATTTTCCTCCATAAAACATTATTCAATAATTCTAATTCTTTCAATTTTTCTAATTTTTATAAATACCACAAATCACTATTCACTAATTACTTAATTTCTCCAAATAAATTCACAATTTATTTTTTACCCACCAAAATAATGCATGCATGAACTAAAATAATTAATAAAACTATTAAATATGAATAATACTATTTTTGGTTTGTAAAAATATCGATTCCCGGTTGGATGGTAATATTCACAGTCTGGTAAGTCACTATTCATGACACAAAAAAATCAGGGCATTACAGCTCTCTCCCCTTTAAGAAATTTCATCTTCAAAATTTACTTAAGACAAATAACTGAGGATGTTGCTATCTCATAATATCCTCACTCTCCTAGGTTGACTCTTCAGTCTTATATTCACTAAAGGTTTTTCTTATTCCTTAATTCCTTAACATTTCTAGTAAGAATCCTCACTGGTTCCTCCTTATAAGTCAAATCCGCCTCAATAGTAACAGACTGTGTAGAAATCACATGTGATGGGTCTGATATATACCTTCTCAACATAGAAACGTGAAAGACATTATGAATCCTATCCAGGTCTGATGGTAATGCTAGTCTATAGGCTAATGGACCCACACGCTTTATGATCTCATATGGACCAATAAACCTAGTACTAAGTTTACCTTTATTATCAAATCTCAACACTTTCTTCCATGATGATACCTTAAGGAATACCTTATCACTCACTGTTGACTATGATTTTAGCACCGAACTTAAGAAAATTCTGCCACGGTTCCAACAGTGTGGGAATCAGCTCAATCGGATGTCGTTTGGGCCTTAAATGGACCCCTGAAAGCCCCAAAATTAAAGGCTAGGGGCAGGGTAGTAATTTGCTCTAATCGGCACCGACCAACTCATTGCCGGTACTAATCTGCCCCAAATTAATGCCATTTTGGTGCCTATCGAGCATCTCAATTTGTACCGAATTAGGGCACAACGATACCGATTTGGACGAGATTGGTACCACCGTGTCCTTTGCCTAGTAGCCTTTTGGCCTATAAAAGGGCACCTCCCCCCTCATTTTCAAGCACCTCTTGTTGCTTGATCAAGGCTTCTCAAGCATCAATGACTCTTATTCCCTCTTGAACGGTTCTAAGGCATTATAGTCCGACCTTGGTCTTCTTACTTAGTTGAGTTTAAGCCCAACTTGGCACTCAAAAGTTAATTTTTTGGACTTTCACATGCACTTTGGTCTTCCTTAGATGAAAACTATTAGCTATAATTTATTATTAATTAAGTTAAGATTTAATTAATAATTCGATAATTAGCAATATTATAAGACTATAATTCTAGTCCTTGTGCCCTACCCTACCTTGATTGGGAAGACCCAACCTCTTTTGTCGTTTTTCAACACAAAGCTTCGATTTGATCGCATCACAAACGCAAAGGTATAACCACACTAAACTCAAAACTTTGTCAATTACAGCTGGTCCATCCAGCACCTTATAAATTGTCAACCCCAGTTCATCCGGCACCCAAAGTGCTTTGAAGCCTAATCCGTTCGGCAAACTGATAAAACTAGTTTTCAACTAAGCCTGGTCTGCCCGGCACCCCCTTAAGCCCACTCTCCAAGGGCATCATTTAGGATCCTTTCTAGTCATTAGAATTAAGCAAATTGAGTTGCTATTATCACTTAGGGGCAATCTTCCTTAGAGCAGCCCCAGGTTGAGAAAGCTGCTCACCCAATCCTGCGTACCTCCATTCCTTACGATAGGATAAAGGGTTTGGAGAATCAATCATTCAATTTGACACCAAATGGTCAAATGATGAGGTATATTCCAGCTCTAGCGGATGGGACCCTTACACCAATCCGCCAAAACTATGTAATGACCCTAAAATTGATCCCTGGGATTATATGCACCCAACAATCATGAAACTATTTTGGCATAACATTCACACATTCAAGCATATCATGTTATGGACCAAGAATAAAACCAAAACACCAACCAGTTGTCAAAACTAAACACCAACTGGAGGTCAAACCTAAACAATAAACCCATGGTTCAACCCAAATCCATGGTCAAAATCCCAATCAATGGTCAAACCTGAACTCCAACTAGTGGTCAAACCTAAACACTAATCCTTATCCGAGGAGATATACTCGACTTATGATCTTCAAACGCTAACCTGAGCACTCTCAAAATACCAAAAGCCTTAAACCTGACCTAAGCATTCAAACCGAGGGCAATGCCCGATCAAGTTCTCATATCTTAAGCCTCAATCAATGACCTGGGTACCCTTTATTACCAAAAGTCTCAAACACGGACCTGAGCACATTTAATTACCAAAAAGCCTCAAAATCGACTTGAGAATCACAGATTACCAAAAGCATTAAACCAGACCTAAGCATTCAAAATTCCAAATTGCGGGCAATGCTCGATCATGCCCTCAAATCTTGATTCGAGCATTGTTTCCCTCTCACTAAGCCTTGAGCACCGACCTGAGCACCATTTACCACCATTTACCATTCAAGCATTGCCCCTAGTTTAGGGATTTTGAACATCGGCATAAGTGTCCTTACTACCTCTACTAGTTATTTATTGCCTCAAATAATTGACCTAGGCTACTCAACCACCATAAACCTCAAACACCGACCTGAGTTATAAAGCTTTGACGATGCATACTTTTGAACCAGACCAAGAGCTATATACTGATACCACCTTTTGTTTGCTTCTTCCAAATTGAATAACAACAATGATTGCTAGTCCACCTACCGTTCTTAGAGCTACACTTGAGGAAATGCTATGGGCGTAGGAAGCTCGCCTCGAGAAATCGCTTACTGAACAGAGTGACTCTCTAAAGAATGACATGGCTAATCAAAGAGAGACCATTCTGTTGGAGGTCACAACTGTTATTAACACTAGCCAGAATGGCAACGCCCCTCTGAACCAGACTAGAGGTTCTAATGATCAACCTGCTGCTCCACCTAATGGCGACCTGACTGCTAGAAGGTCAGTTCCTAAAGTTGGAGCCACATCCAATACCATTGCTACCTCGAGCCAGACAGTGGATGATACAACTTCTCCTGAAGTGAAGAAGATGATGGAGAAGATGGACTCCTTGAGAAGTTCCTCAAAAGCATTAAGAAATATGAGGACCTTATTGACATCGACTCTCTCCCACTCTTCCCTAAGGTTAGGCTGCCAGCCAAGTTTAAAATGGCCGCTATGGATAAATTTGACGGCACCATGTGCCCCAAGACTCATCTAAAGATGTACTTGGGTGCCCTCACTCCTCTTGGTATGAATAATGAGCTTCTTGCTCAATTGTTCCAGTAATCTCTCACTAGTGTTGCTCTTCGCTGATTCTTCGCCTTAGACAATGCTAAGAAGAAGATCTAGGATGAGATCTGTAATGCCTTCAACCAATAATACCATTATAATATGGAGGTTGACATTACTAGGAGGAACCTGGAGACCATTAAATAGGGAGCTCAA